GGCAATGAAAGAAAATGATTTCGTCTACTGTAACTAGCTAAAAGTATAAACTTTAAGAATATATCATTTCATAATCCTAATATAATTAGATTTAACTTATTTTTTGTGTTTCTCTAGAGAAACTGCCGGAGAAGAAGATCATTCAACATATAATCTTGGTGTATTAAAAAAACCGGTTTATGCCTTAACAGATGAAGAAATTATTGCAAATGGTAGTCGAGGTGGTATGCATAATATAGGTAAAACTTTTTGTTTTTGCTTTAATTAATTAATTATTTCTTTTTTCAAGGTTATACTGATACAATAATAAATCGTCGACCAGCACTTGGTGATTATATAGATGAAAAATTAACTGAACAACAAATAACATCTTATGCCAATGATACTCAATTACATTATCGATATGAAGGTGAAGGTTCAATAGCATCAGATTTAAGTTCAATTGAATCTATACATTATCAAGATGAACATGATTTTCGATTTCTTTATTCATGGGGACCAAAATTTGCACGATTAGCTGATTTATATGCTGGTGGTATTGATGATGATGATGATAATATTGACAATGCTTAAATAAGAATTAATCTATTTATTCGTTATGGGATTATTTAGAAATATTTTTGTTGCTCAATTATTTGTGTAGACTAGACATTTAAGAAAAACAATCTATCGTTTTTCTCTCTTATTTACATATTTCAGGAAAGAAAATCAAAATTTTTTTTTTTTTTTTGGTGTATATAAATTCATCAGCTCTTTTTTTTTCTTATCTTTATTACGAATAATCGTACTTTTTTTTCTTCTTTTCTTTTTGTGAGTGCGTATTCAGTTGTTTGGTTTCGTTCATTCTTTCTATATTTTTTACTATTTGTGTATTCGTTTGCGTAAAAGAACAAAATAATAAAACGCAACAGAATTTATATGTCAGAATATGACTAAAAATTGAAAATATTAAAGACAATGGAATTGTTACAATGAAGAGTTTGAATATGAAAGTGCTATCTTATAAGAGGATATGATAATTTTATATTATTGAATAAAAACTAATTCATCCAATAGAACCATTGTAGAGATAAGAAAATTTCTTTTTGGTCAATGACTTTCCTAACACTGAACATCGTTGAAATATTTTATTTTTCTATTAATGAACTAGTTTATATAAAAAAACTGTTTAATGGTACTTTTACGCATACACTAATATGATTATTGCGTATGTGTATGCGTCCGTTTTCATAGACCTACTGAGAATATAGCTTATAATGATGAATCTGTATGCAAGAATGCTATTTATGTAATGAAACGCTTCGTATAATACTAGAAAGTATAAATAGGATGCCATTCATAGTGCAATTCAAGTAATGAAAATGAGGCATTTACGACAAGAAAACGGTATAAATATGGTTCTAATAATACGCATCGGTTTTTGACTGAAACAGTCTCAAAACGGCCATCGTTTTAAGTAGTTTAAGGTATCGTTTCAGACATTCTGACTGTCTTCCTTCGTAACACATGGCACTATGAAATATCATCGTCTTACTTAATAAAAATCCACAATCATTCTGAAAAATGATTTCAAATAACCAAGTTATGATGATTATCGTTCAATCAACTTTCACTTCATTAGTCACTATTCGTTTAATAACAGAAAATAGTAACAACAAAATAGATAAATCATATTATCTCTCATATGGCGAAAATTCAATCTATCAAGTATTTTGTATAATAAGTTTTTAAAACTTCTTTCAAAAAGATATATTAGTTCCTTCTATTTGATCATTATTCCTATTAGTAAAAATTAATTTTCCTCCGTAACAAAAAATCAATTTTCCGCTGCTTTTTCTATTATCACTTTATGTAAATATATATAGTTTTTTTAAAGATATATAACTGTCTTGATCCTGTAATAATTACTATGATATTTCTCATGAATGCATAAAATAGAATTTTTGATTTGAACGCCTTGTTTTTTGTTTGAAACGATCATTTTTGCCACACGTCAGATTTTTGTCCATTGATGTTTTAGGTTTATTAAAGAACTTACATTCTTCAAATCAAATAATTAACAAATAATAAATATTTATGTTCGTGACAGAATAGATTAAATAAATGAACTATAGAAAAAAATAACCATAATATGACTGTCTATCAATCAAGAACGCTTATTAAAAACAAAAGAAGACATGATCCTTTTCTTTTAAATTTTCTTCCTCAACAATGAATGTCAATAGTTTGTCTTGACAACATGTATAATATATATATATATATATGATTTACACATATGTTGTTAACATAAACATTAAAAAGAATAATAAAACAAAAAAATTAAACAATGGATTTCGATGATCGAAATGGTACTCCGAATCAAATAAATCCACTAGAACAAACAACATCATCATTAAATAATACAAATGAATTTTTCGTAAATATTTTGTAGTAATTAAAATTCTTTCTTGTTTTTGAAATTTATTCTATTCATTAGAATACTGGACAAGAACCTACTGAAGCAGTATTTGATGAAGAACAAATCTTAGATGAAATTTCTCGAGAATGTAAGATTTTTATATCAAAATAAAAGACAATATTAAATTAAGTATTTTATTCTAGATCTCAAATTTGGTTTTAAAAAAATAGCAAAAAAAAATGATTATATTCGTATTGAAGAAATAGGTGATGCATTTCGTCATGCTGGACAAAATCCATCAGAAGATATTGTTAAAGATATGCTTGAAAAAGCTAGAGCTACTAAAAAACCAAATCAAATACATTCAAATGAAGATGGTTAATATATTTAAACATATCTTATAATAATAAATAATAATATTTTTTATTTTTTGAAAGATTCCAATGATCAATTATTATATCCTGATTTTTTAACTATTGTACATGAATATTGGTATCCAATTGATCAAGATAGAATACATTTAGAAGAAGCATTTGATGTTCTTGATCCTAAACGTACAGCTAAATTATTACTTGATGATTTTACTAATTTATTACGAAATTGTGATTGGGCAGACGATGAAATAGAACTTATTTTATCACAAGTTAGTTGTGGCGATGGATATTTTCTTTATGATGGTAAGATTTATATTGTTTATATTCATATTTTAATTGATTTTTATTTTTCAATAGATTTAGTAAAATTACTTTTATCACCAGTTGAATTACCGAAGAAAAAATCAGCTAAACCAAAATCATCTCAACCAAAATCGAGCGCTAAAAAGAAAAGTGCTTAATTATAACAGACACATACAATTGATCTTAACAAAAAAAACAAACATTTGAAAAGTTCTTTTCTTTTTTTTGGAAGCATTGTATATCACATAATCGAAATATTTGCTTCTTTATTTATAAAAAAAAAAACCACACAATAAGAAAGAGAATAAAAAGAAAATGATATCAATATAATGAAAAGAGTTTCTTTCTTTTGTGTTTTTCTACAAATACTGTTTGATTCTTTCTTTCTTTTTTCTCTTTGTCTTATGTCAGTTGATTTGACGTCTTCTAATAAATGTCAATGACCAACAAAAATTTATCATAATAATATTGTATTGATAAAGTCGACTTACTCTCAAAATGTACATGAATATTTTTATTCTCATAACAATCATTATTAGCATCATTCTATATTTGTTACCTCAACAAATTAGTTCAATAACAAGTGAGTAGATGAAGATTGATTTCATTTATATGATTCATGTAAATTGATCGTATATCTCTATCAATTTAACAACTGTCTGTCCTTGTTGATTATATGAATGAAAACATCAGACAACCTTGAACATATCTACACAATCATATAATATATTACTTTTCAGTATTTTTTCTTTCTTTGTATTAGTGAGAGATTTTTACGTTTTAGGAAAAAAACACACTGTTTGTAAGAATAACAACTAAGATAGATAGATGAGAGTTCATAAACACTCCTTCAGATATGAGAAAAATAATATTGAAAAATATAAAATACAAAGTAAATTTCCATAAAGCATAACATCAATATAACAGTTATTTGTTAGTGATTAACATACAAACTACAAATAAGTAATTTGCTAAAAAAGGATTAATATATAGAAAAAGGAAAAGAAAGATAATGACATATGTCAATATATATATATATCAATCCTCGCTAATATCACATTATCTTCACATTTAGCAATACATAATAAATACTATTGAGAATTTAGATAACATATATATGAAGGTCACTGTCACAATGAGAAATAGATTCAGATATAAAACTCTTGTCGATAGTTTAGATTGAAGAGGTTTTAGTAGTCTGATATTATATAATAAAATACTTATGCATCATTACTGTAACATAAATTGAGTCAATATGTAATGTGATTGTGTGGTGTATATATAATACAAATTTATCAAATTTCTTTTTTTATTTTTAGAGAAAAGAATAAAGAAAATTTTTTTTTTATCCTAATTTAGTAACGTTTGTTTTTATCTTTATGTAAAATAAGATCAAATATCAGGCACTATGTGTTTTAATAGGAATATGGCATCATCAACATGTCTTTGCAAATATTTTCACAATATTTATAAATATCTATTATAGATGTTTGGGGTCATTGCTATTTTGATCATTTTAAACAAATATTTAGAAATCATCTATTAAAAAGGAAAACATTAACTTTCATCTTGTTTAATCTACAGAGTGGCATAATGGAGGAGATTTCAGACGATCGAATTATATAAGAAACATAATATTTAAAAACATTTTTAGAAAGATTTTCGAAATTCTAATGGTGTTTTAAATTCTGGATACACTGATTTATATAATCTTGTTTTTTTTTTGAAAAGCTTCCATTCGCAACCAAAACTGTCTAGTGACCTTTGATTCGTTTTATATTTATGTAATAAAATTGTATAATACTTCAAGGATAATACACCGACTATTTATTCCCGATAGAATTTATTTTGTCATGAAAAAAAGAAGACTGTGTTCTAGAATGAAAGTTTGATAATCAATATTTCAAGAATTGATTTCTTTAGATATGATCGAACAAGAACAATTTATCTATGAAATCGTTATTCCACAACCGTTATCTTTTTATCGAAAATCAATTCATCAAAAACGCTTATCAGAAACATTTCTATCTTATCGAATTTACTGTTTCAATCAAATATTTGATCTATTATTAGTTAAAGACAAAATATTTTTATCACCATCATTTTTTGTACAATATTTTAATGAAAATCAAACATGGATTAATCGAGATATTAAAGATTGTTTTTATAAAGGTTATGTTAATAGAAATTATTTGTCCATGATATCAATTAGTTTATGTAATGGTTTGGTAAGATTAATAAAAATAACTAATTATAAGAGAAATTTTCATTATGATAAATTTAGTTTGGAACATTTATCTATCATAATACTGAATATTTTATCGAACCTAAATACGATAGAAATAGTAGTTCATGGAATTTTGAACATATAATTTATACACACAGAGATTTATCATTATCCAAAGAATCAATTGTTCATTGTCCTGTTGATGGTAAATTATCATTTGTTTTTCAAATTAATTTGTCGTTTCTTTTAACTTGTTAGGTAAACCTTATTTTGAAGAACATCATAACTATCATTATTATCGATCACACGAGCTTACACAAATTCGAAGGAAACGTCAATATGATTTTGATTCAATGGCAACACATGTTGAAATACTTGTTGCTTATGATGATTCAATAAAAGAATTTCATTCTGAAATCGATATTAAATCATATATTCTAACGTTATTTAATTATGTAAGTCTTACGAACAAAAAATAATTTAGTAAGAAAAAAAAAGACCAAATATTTGTTATTATTCAGGTTTCACATTTATATTCAGATGCAAGTATTGGAAATAATATCAAAATATGGTTAGTTAAATTAATCGAATTAGGAAAAGATTTAAGTGTAATGAAAAAATTATTATTTTTCATTTTCGAATTAATTTTGTTTTATAATTTTGTATTAGAATCACATTGAATCAACGGATGATGCAGCTGATATATTAAATAAATTTTGTATATGGCAAAGAGATTACAATATACAAGAAACATATGATGCAGCTGTTCTTCTTACTAGGTATAGCCAAAAAGAATATTATTATCTCTCCATAGTTCTTGTTGGTGAAACACAATCTAGAATAAGTGTTAAAGTATAGGAGTAAAAATTCGAATCCTTCCTACAATCTGTGATAAAACATCTTAGTATAACACTGCTTCCATATCATAGACCGTGACTAGAGTTGATCGAATAAGAAATTTTCGGAGCCGGTCAAGTCGTACTTTGTTAATCTCAATGAAATTTTCTAATCGGAATTGGATAATTGCGACGAAAATGCGAGATCTTTTTTTCCGGGTTTTTGTATATGGTGACTAATGCACTCTACGCTTTTCTCAGACGATTAGAGCTCGTCGGACACTAAATTTTCGGATCCGACCAAGCCCAGGACCAATGCGACGGGCTCTAACCTTGATTGATGGTGAAGAAATGCGTCCCAAAATAGATAGAATAAAACACTTTCTCTGTCGTTAGTAGAAGCAGCTACATCGCGCTTCACATTTTAATTCCACAGGAATTACGCTAATAGATTTTGTTTCCTACCTAGAATACCATTATGCCATAAACATGTTCCACATACAATTGATAGTAAATGTGATACATTGGGTTTGACAGAACTGGGTACAATGTGTAATATAACATCAAGTTGTGTTGTTGTACGTGATAATGGTTTTGCAACTGCATTCACAATTGCTCATGAAATAGCACATTTGTAAGAAAAATAAATCGCAAAAAACAATTTAATTAGTTCATTTTTCTTTGTTTTATATTTTTGATAGATTTGGTATTCGTCATGATAATGATAAAGTTTGTTTGGATTTAAATGAAGAACAAAATATAATGGCGACTTCACTTGTATTTAATCATAATCATTATAAATGGTCGAATTGTAGTAGACATTATTTTACACAATATCTTGAGTGAGTCAGTTGATCCTACTAATACTATTTGCATGGATACAGATTTGAGTATAGTTCATAACACTGTGTTATAATCTACTGTACAGTTTTTCAGACAAGAGTAGGCGAAAGTAACAGTAATGATTACAAGTCTATTGTAAAAAGAATTGTACTAACTTGATTCATATCTAAGCTTAGGAGTCAACGGGTATAAGCCAATAATGGATCTATTGATGATTTAAAAAAAAAACTCCAGTTTTCATTGAGCATAATTAGATCAATTTATTCAATAGCAGCTATTTCTATAATTTTCTTAACCTCGTAAACTAGCATATGAAAACCTAAGGAGATTCCCATTATTGTTATATTCACTAGTTTTTTTATGAAAAAGCTATTGGTCAGTTGAAAATGATCCTTCGTTTGTTCAATTTTTTATTTTTAATGATTTTAAATATGGATTAATATTTTTCGACTAATAACTTATGGTATGAACTAGATGAATTAATTTATAGGAATCTTGAAGAGTGCATTTTACTGCACCTTCTCTATATAAAGACAGTTCTATAATAATATAGTTATTTTTGTCACTCTTTAATGATGATTATTAAACTATATTTTTTAATCATTTAAAGGTCTGATCGATATCCATGTTTAAATAATATACCGAATTACAAATCATTATTATTTCAAGATTTAAATAATAAACAAAAAGCGGGTGAATTACCTGGTAGTTTTAGTGATCTTGATGAGCAATGTCGTCGAGCATTTGGTATTCATTTTGAATATTGTAAAGACTTAAGCCATGGTGTAAATAGACTCTTTTATTCTTTTTTTTTAAATGAATCTATCGTGAAAACTTTTTATCTCTAGTCAAAATGTACTCATCTTTATTGTCGTGAAATATTATCTTATTCATCGTTATGTATAACTAATCATGCACATTGGTCCGATGGTACTCTATGTTCAGAATCAAGAAGCGAAATTAAAGTAAGACTATAAAAAGTTTATATCGATTATATATGAATCAGAGATGTCCATCGCGACTCGAAATCTGCCGCTGTCGCGATGGTACTCGAAAAAAAGTTTCGAATTTCATTGCTGTGAATGTATTGAAATACAATTCTTGTCACTAATCGATGAGATTCATTGAGTCTTCGAGTGTTACGTCTGTGA